TTAAATTTCATTACTTATTATATTACATCTAATTGTTCATATTGAACTTATAATAAAAACTAGACCTTATGCAAAATAACATGTTTATTAATGTAGCTGAAAAACTGAATAATGTAATGTAATATTTATCACATACACTTAAGCTCGGGAAGAGGAGAAATCCTACATTCTGGCATTCCTGCTCCCGATTCGTATTCGCGTAATGACTAATGCAATTTCTTTCATTGCAAAAAAATTCATAACTCAATTGCAATGGAAGTTATAAATACAAATAGATTACATTGCTCATTACAGTCGTACTCGACAACTAATTGAAATATGCCACGGTTATTATGGAATTAAGGTATACGTAAATTACGACCAACGGGTGTGCATCACATCTGGCAACACGAAACGGTGAAGGAAATGTTTTGCAGCGCTGAATTTCTAGGAAGCAGTGTTTATTATCGCCAACCTCTTTTTAAGGGTAATTGAAGAGAATCAAAGCTTTCCTTCTTACGATTTTATGCCATGGACTCGGTCAGCATGCGCCCAGCAGAGTGTATTAGTGTATACGATAAAAGGCAATTCGGCCTTGGCATCTGATAAGTGCAAGTCTGGATGCTGTCTCTTGTCACTGATTCGAGTGTTCTGCAAGTAAAGAATTTTTAAGGATGACAAAGAAACGAAGCCCGAGTTTAGTTGAAAAATATAAATACATTTTCTGTAACGAACTTGTCCACCGAGTGGGGAAAGAGTTTCTGGAAGAAAATCTGCAAGCGAGCGGTCATTTGGCTTTGCCTTGCGTCACTAAACAGAACGGTGCGTGCCCTAACGAACACGGAATATCGTAGTAGCAGAGAAAAACCGAGAGTGCTGAGTTCCGAGTTTTCGCATCCACCCATACTAGTACTGCACCTTGCGGTCAATTCGGGGATCCACCGTAAAAAAAGGGGCCCACCGTAGCATATGCCAGAACCTTTTTAGAAGAGATCTACACTGTTTAGTTCCACCGTTGCATAGACAAGAATCGAATTCACGTCCACCGTAGCACACAGAGTATAGGCAGTATTACAGACGAAATATATGAATAGACATATACGTCGAAAAGAAGTCATTCGCACGAGCGATATCCGCGATAGCTTGGACTCCGTGCTTGAACTGGACGGACAAGTTCGATGAAATACATATATATTTCTCTCCCTAGTTTGTGGGTCTTACATTTAAATTTCATTACTTATTATATTACATCTAATTGTTTATATTGAACTTATAATAAAAACTAGACCTTATGCAAAATAACATGTTTATTAATGTAGCTGAAAAACTGAATAATGTAATGTAATATTTATCACATACACTTAAGCTCGGGAAGAGGAGAAATCCTACATTCTGGCATTCCTGCTCCCGATTCGTATTCGCGTAATGACTAATGCAATTTCTTTCATTGCAAAAAAATTCATAACTCAATTGCAATGGAAGTTATAAATACAAATAGATTACATTGCTCATTACAGTCGTACTCGACAACTAATTGAAATATGCCACGGTTATTATGGAATTAAGGTATACGTAAATTACGACCAACGGGTGTGCATCACATCTGGCAACACGAAACGGTGAAGGAAATGTTTTGCAGCGCTGAATTTCTAGGAAGCAGTGTTTATTATCGCCAACCTCTTTTTAAGGGTAATTGAAGAGAATCAAAGCTTTCCTTCTTACGATTTTATGCCATGGACTCGGTCAGCATGCGCCCAGCAGAGTGTATTAGTGTATACGATAAAAGGCAATTCGGCCTTGGCATCTGATAAGTGCAAGTCTGGATGCTGTCTCTTGTCACTGATTCGAGTGTTCTGCAAGTAAAGAATTTTTAAGGATGACAAAGAAACGAAGCCCGAGTTTAGTTGAAAAATATAAATACATTTTCTGTAACGAACTTGTCCACCGAGTGGGGAAAGAGTTTCTGGAAGAAAATCTGCAAGCGAGCGGTCATTTGGCTTTGCCTTGCGTCACTAAACAGAACGGTGCGTGCCCTAACGAACACGGAATATTTTAATCGTTCGTTACGATTCGATCGTTATTTACGTATAAGTGAGTTATAATCCAATAGCGGCAGTGGAATTGTTCCGCGAACGGTATTCCGATCGGAACTAACAATTAAATTAAAAACGTGTATGCAAATTTTGAATTGCAAAGTGCAATGTGACAGTGGATTTGTAAAATGAAAAGTGGCAGTGAATTTGGAAAATGTAAGAATGACAATTTTTGTTTTGTGAAAATTTGCCAGTGGGAAAGTGACAGTGATCGTGATGATATGGAAAAGATCGTCAGGTGCAAGTCACTGACTTGCTCCAAACATCAGCTGCTGCGGACCATGTGTTTCTATTTTGAAGGACCGAAGAACGACCCGTTGACGTTTTTCTACGAGCAGGTGCACTTACTAACAAAGAAGTAAGTCCAACTCTGATTCTTTTCGTATATTCATCATTTTACCTACTCTGTAATGTGTAAATTTGTTAATTATTTCATTGAGTATGTTACATTTGTTCAGTGAATGTAAGTAACGACTAATCGCTTTCTTTCCTCTGACATTTAATCAATTTATTAGTTCGTTTTTGCATGTAACATTTCTTTAATCCTGTTAGATACTTTCCAAACTTTCTCTTTTCCTATCATTAAGTTTTCCTCTGCACCCTATCCTCAACATCTGTTACTTAACCATTTCAGCCCTGCAACGGTCATTTTCCGTCAAACTCCTTTCTATCGTAAAACAGCTTATCCTTGGGTCTCAAGGGCCCTCCAATCGAAAAACTCACTTCCTTGTTCTTTCTTGCCATTTTCCTCTCCCTATGTTTCACCCCACCAGATTTTTCCGCGCTTACCCTAAACCGGACACC